TAATACGAGTCGCTTCCATGCTCTTCCCGTCTCGGTACCAGGTAATGTCAGGTGACACGCCCCACACCTCACAGACAAGGGTTACATTTTGTCCTGCAGTTACCGTGAAGTTGGTTTCAGGGTTTACAAACCATAGGTCTAATGCTAACCAAGAAAATAGTAAAACAATGTTAGAATAATCATCTATTCGTCCAAACAGACGCTCCAGATGTTTACTTACAGATAATAGTTAAACTTCCAGGAATCGACACCACTGCATTCAGGGTATTGTTCACCATACACTTATATGTGCCCTTATCGCCCACAACAAGATTACTGATGGTCAACGTAGAGTACACTCTCCCCACACTACTCGGCTTAGTGATATTTATTCTATCGCCATGCACTAAGGTCACTACGTCTTTCTTCCACGTGACTTCAGGCACAGGGTTCCCGTCTACCCCACACGACATCACCATTGAATCTCCTTCCCTCTTCGTCAGGTTTAGTGGATTTTGGAAGATAACTGGTGAATCTACGATGATTCAAAAGATTGTGTAAAAACATTTGCAAATAAACACACCAAGAGAAATAGAGGGACTGCTTACAGACTAATGAGAGCCACGAAAGTTGTACGTAGGTACGGTAGGTGTATGTTTAATACGATAATTACTTACAGTACACTGCTAAAAAAGCAGGCGTTGACGTCCGTTCATCAAGGAAGTTGTTAACCCTGCAATTGTAACTACCCTCGTCTGTTCTTATCAGCTCATTGATCGTGAGAGAAACAGGCGTCCGGTGATGTACAGTGGGTTGAGTGACCTTCATCCTAATTGCCTCTATAGTGAAGAGGTTGCCGTCTTTAAGCCAGGTTACCTCTGGAGGAGGTTTGCCTTCCACTTCACATGTAAATGTGACCGATCCTCCTTCAATCCTTGACTTTGGTTGTGGATTCAAAAATATTTTTATGCCGTCTGAAGGGATAATGTTAAACATGTCTACAACTTGTTATACAGATAAAATTAAAGATGATTGTTATTTACACTGGACTGCCAGCGATGCCACAGATGAGGTATCATTACCGACAATACTCAAACCCGACAGGAATAGTAGCCCTCGTCAGTACGGTTCTCATTAGCAATAGTAGTCGTAGCACCGGTATTACTGACTAAAGAATGTCTGAATACCGATATTCTCTTGTCCTTCCCAGATATAAATAAATGAACATCTATAAACCAGGTTATATCAAAAACTGGTTTGTCTTCCAAGTAACACGTATTAAAAACCCTGCTTCTCTAAATCTCTATTTGGCTAGTTGGATACATCAAAATCTTTAAAGGATCTAGAAAAGAATATAATTAAGAGCATCCTACTTCATTTCTCACACACTTTCCAACAAACTGCGCTATAAGCTGTATACATGGCATACTTTAGTGCTTTGCAAATATTGCCGCCGTTGTGAAATTGAAGTACTCACAATTCACTGTCAGCTGTGCCTCTTGCGACGCAGCAGGACCTCCCGCCACGTTGTTAACTTGACACCTGTATCTTCCTTGGTCTCGTCTGTTTAGGTTGGCCATGGTCAGAGATGATTCCGTCCAGGAAGCATT